ACACCCATGATCCCACTCTACCTCATCAGAAATCGAACCCACAAACTTCAAGTTCCTCAGTGAGTACACCATCATTGAGCCACTCGCTATATGGCGTGACCTTCATTCAATTTCATCGTTGAGTATCTGTTCCTCACGTTCAATTCGGTTTGCGCTACCAGTCACGATTTCTCATTAGAAATTCGGGAATCTTATCTCAAAGCAAGCTACTACTAAGTACTAGAAAGTAATTCAGTTTGAAAGTTTATGGGAATTTATTTATTGATTTCACGTTGATATTCATCATGGACTAGCATCAGTTAGAGAGAACCTGAGAGCACTGTTTCTCCAACTGATGTCAGTTCAAGATGACTAGCAAATTGAAATCAACAGATAAATCCCAACAAACTTCCGAACTTAAATCATAAATACTGCATCGACATACTGCGCTTTTTTTTTCTTAAGGTTGTCCCTAAAACTTGGAATTGTAGAAAGCATACATAATGAATGCAGATTCAAAATCATGTTAATACTCTACAAAATAGATGTAACTGTCTACACAGGAGGTGAAAGCAGAAATATCTTGATGTTACATTAGCGAAAGGCAATTTTTAGTTATTTAAAAACATATTTTTTTGATAAAAGTGTCAACAAATAAAACATCTACATGTGAAACTTTTAACAATATTTGAGTCACCTTTATCAATAGGAAATGGTCAGTAATAATGAGGAGTGAATATTAGACAATATATAGGGCATTTCAGTTACCAGCTGCACAAAATATTTTGAATAACATATTAACCAGTAATTGACTATAAACATTTTTGCTGTAGATGAAGTATACTCCTTTGTCTAGATGATAGGATAAAAGTAGATGGAAACTAAACCATAATTTTGCATTTCATGCTAATCATTGACTAAATAAACTAATGCTGGAACAGTTTTAAAACTGTTAACTTGATAAATGATAGAATACTGAGACGAGTATTAAATTTAAAGATCAAGCAATTGGAAGTATAGTAGTCGAAGTCATTTGAAGAGGATAAGGAAACGACTTATTCATCCTATTGTAAACGATATTCGAGTTTATTATTATCATTATTATTATTATTATTTATTATTAGTCCCTTGGGTTCCTAGTGGAACATAGGGCTTCACTAGCACGTCTCCAGTGACCTCTGTTCTCTGAGATCTTTTGAACCTGGTTCCACGACAGCCCACAACCTCTCATTTCCTCCTCGCATGACCTCCTCCATGTCACCCTCGGACGCCCAACTCGTCGCTTCCCATGGGGATTCCACTCGAGCGACTGGTCTGAAGCGTGATGTACTCAGTCGGCCTTCTCAGTGTATGCCCAATCCATCTCCACTTCTTCCTGCATATTTGTTGCGTGATAGGTTCTTGGTTGGTTCGTTCCCAGAGCTCCTTGTTGCTTATTCCTACTATTCTGGCCATCTGATCTTCAGTAGCGAGCGTAGGCAGTTGTTGATGAATGTCTGTAGTTTGTTGTTGTTCGTAACGCGCCAAGTCTCTGAACCATACAGAAGCACTGACTTGACTAAGTTGGTGTTGAAAATCCGTATCTTGTTCCGCATGCTGAGTGCAGAAGATCTCCACACTGGTTTCAGGCTAATGAACGCCTGTCTTGCTTTTCCGATTCTGGCTTTGACGTCCTCGTCCGTCTCGCCTGTAGTTGAAACAGTGCTTCCTAGATAAGTGAAGGAGGTTACTTCCTTTAAGTTTCTCCCGTTGACGGTGACTGGAGTTTGTTGTTGTTGTTGATGGTGGTGGTGCGGTATCTTCATCACCTCTGTCTTCTCTATATTCACCTGAAGTCCCGTCTTCGCTGCCCGCCTCTTCTATCAACTTGTTAGTTTTTGCCTGCAGATCTTCAAGTTTATGTGACATCAGGCACAAGTCATCGGCGAAATCCAAGTCTTCTAGGTTCTTTTCCGCAGTCCAGCCAGCGTATCCCCCTCTTATCGCTCCTCACTGTTTGCTGCATGATCCAGTCCACCACAATAAGGAATATCATGGGGGATAGTAGGCAACCTTGTTTCACTCCTGTCTTCACTTCAAAGTCATCACTGAGCTTCCCATTGTGAATTACTTGGCATGTGGCATCTTCATATAGTTGTTGAATGATATTCGAGTTAGATAAACTAATTAAATATCTTCAATATACAATGAACTGTTAATATAACTTTGAGATAGTTTATTAAGCAGATAAGATTTTATACCTAAATATACCTTGTATTCATATTATGATTGACCTTGATAGTTAGTAAGTCATATGATGATGTAAATGAGGTGAATACACCTACCTACGGAACTACACACCATCGATTTGGAACAGAAAAAGAGACAATTCAGTTACACACTTGGACTTTACGAAGGTAACTAACATTAATTATTACTCATACTATTAGACACTGAAGAAGAAGAAGATACTGATCTGAAGGGAATCACCTTATCGTTGAAAGCTAAATGACTGAACAATGAAGCTATAGGTTAACTAGCACATTATTATCATATTGTTGACACCATCATCATATGAAGAGACAGAAATAAAGTAGACGTGATATTCAGTATTTAGTATAGAAGTAAATGATGCATATAATACAGTTTTCACCGAAAGAAAAAAACTATTAAAACAGTGACTAATTTTTGCCAGTGATCAAACTACGGCAGTTTTATTCAAATAACTAAGTAGATTCAATGACCAACTGAATTCAACATAATCTAAAGTAAAACTAAGAAGTTCCATTACAGTTTCTTTATTACAAATGTCACACAGTGAAGGAACAGTATTATTTACTGGAAAATATCTCGGAAACAATTTATTGTCCATATTCATATCAGGTAACTACTCCACAACTCTCAGACAGAGTTTATAGAGTCCCAATTTTTTCTCCTTCTTTGTGACAACTTTCCATGTAACTGGGATAGGTTCAGAATAATTTCCATTACTGCATCTACTTGGTGTCGATTCGACAAACAAAAATTCGGTTATTAATCTCTCCCTCCACCCAACTAAGTTAGTTTTCTATACCATCACTCTATCCCACCCTACTGTATGATTGTATCTTATTAGGATCTATACCTGGATCTACTAATCTTGATTAAGCTGAATTTTCGTGCTCTGTTATTCTGATTGACCCCTGCCGACTACATTGACCGATTTTCTTTCACCTCACAATCATTGCAAGGAATTCGGTAAAGCAAATTATTTTACCTAGCTGCATGAATAGGGTCTTTTAAATGCCACTTTAATCCCAGCCAGCCTTGTTGGGAATTCTTCGTAATGCTTCTCAGGTGTCTTCCTTGTATGACAACAACACAGTAGAGGCTTGAAATTCTCTCTCGACCCTTCCACTATTATAAGCTTATTAGTAGTCGAATTACTATTAATAACACCTGTGTTACTACTACCACTACTGCTAATATTTTTCTCTCGATTTCTTATGAATTTATTCATAACTTTAGGTGGGTAATTATTGAGATGCAGGGTACTCTTAAGGTGTGTAATTTCTTGTCATAGGCTTTCTCATCTACTAGTAAGCTTTTCCGCCCTATCAATTAGGCGTTTAATTAAGCCCACTTTGACTGAGATGAGGTGAAATGATTTGAAGTCTAAATAGCAATTCGAGAGGGAAGGTTTCCTATAGACACTAGTCTCTAAATTTCCGTCTTGTTTTGGTTCAATCTTGTAATCCAACATTCCTAGTTCACCTTCATCACTTTGTAAGTCACAGGTAAATTGGATTACATTCACTACTGAATTTATGTGCTAACAACCCATTGATGTGTTCCGATTTCAGTACTGTTGTTAACGTATCATCTACATATTGAAACCATATCTTTGGGAAAGGACTAAATGTTTGAAGGGCCATGCGTTCCCAACTATTCATAAATATGTTACGACGATAGGGAATATTGGTGATGCCATGGCAACACCTTCAGTTTGCTTATATATTTTATTCTGAAACTTAAATACTGTAGATGTTAGGCTCAATTAACTCAGTCACACAGTAGGGTGGGGGATAGGGTGACAGTATTGAAATCTAACTTGGTTGGGTGGAGGGAGAGATTGATAACCGAATCTCTATGTTATCGAATCAACACCAAATACATGCAGAAATAGAAATAATTCTGTACCTGTCCCAGATATATATAGGAAATTCTACTACCCTTGTCATCACAGAGGAGGAGAGAAAATTAGGAATATATAAAGACTGTCTCGAAGTTGTGGGGTTACCTGATATGAATATGGACAATAAATTGTGTGGGAAACGTTATCCAGTAAATGATACTGTTTCTTCACTGTGTGACATTTCTAATAACCCGATTAGGATCTCAAAGGTGTGACATGCACACAAAACAACCTTAAGTGCCTTTAGCTATGTTGTTTAGAGACAAACTCTGAATCAAATCAGTATCTACACCTAACAGGAAACTGTCATTAGTGTACACTAACAGTGGATCGGTAAGTGCTACAATTGAACACATCGAAAACACGGGTCACTCTATCTCAAGAACCCCTTTAATGCAAGTTACTTATAAAATGAAAAGAAATTTTCCAAAGGCTATATGTCCTCGTATTCTCTGTCTTGTCAAATCTATTGTCATCCACATGGAAGAAGTTGAACTTTCCACGTGAAAGGAAGTTGTTTCGCTTCTTCTTTCATGGTCTTAATTCTCAGTCTTTGAAATCCTCTTTTTCTTTTTGCACTATTCACTTTTTACGTAACTTGCTACGTATTGACACTATTTTTTGTCGCCATGTTTGATAAACCACTACTATTAACCATCAAATCCATGTTTTTCTTTCATGCAACGAAAACCGTCAAATCAATCAAAGAGTATTTGATCAATCCATAGAAAATCGGTGACAGGAGAACAATGCTAGATTAGCGAAGAAAGTTCAATCTAATGATAACCATTATAATGTTAATAATAATAACAATAATAATAATAACAATGGTAAAAGAACCTACAAATAAATAAATTAATGAGAATACCTCAAGAAGTGAACGACAAAAATCCAGTGCACCTAAAAATTCAGTGAAACGTGTATTTGCTTCTTGATTTGTATCCAGTGTTCGTATAAGGATAGGCCAAGTTTCCGGTGAATTATTATTCACTAAACGGTGAGGTAAAGCTGTATAAAGCATTCCTAATCCAGTAGCTATCACCTAAAATAAGGATAAAACAGTTGATTGCAAGGAGATAAACTAAAATAATAGATGCAATATACACTTAATTCAAAAATTACTTCACCCTGTAAACGCAATAGAAATAAGATATAGGCATGGTTTTTATTAGAGGAATAATAAGGGTTATTAAACTATAATCCATAACTTGGCGATATATATTTCGATGGGTGGCTGGAAGTTCTAATCCTTTTTCCCCTGATTTACAATTAGATTGGTAAATCATTGGAATACAACCCCGTTGTGACTACAATGTTGTAATATATTGCACAACCACCATAAATTACACACTATGAGACAATTTCTTCATAGAACTAAGGGAACACCCCTGGTGATGTGTAATGACAAATATCAAAATGCAAAAAAAGGGAGGATATGTGTTATATGGTTAAGAAATTGATAGAAAACAACCAGAGTATTAAAGATGTAGAAGAAGATAAATGTAGAGTAAATATATCCCTGCTTTAATTGTCTTTTAAGTATATCATTGAGGTTCGTCAGTCCACAATTTCTAACATTGCGTGAGCCGCAACCAGGTAGCCTACATTTCTATGCATAACTTCATGGATAAAAGATTAATGCCATATCTTAGTCTGGCCACCCTTCACTTGATTCCAAACTAATCCTACTTTTTATAGCATAGGAGCCCATGTACCACAACAGTGACCAATCAATTCGGTTCAATCAAAGACGAACATTTACAAGCTACAACACAAAAACTATACTATACCCTTTACACAAACAGTGGCAATCGTGACTCAATGGCCTAGCGGATAAGGTTCTGGTATTTGAAGCGATTAAGCCTGGGTTCGAGTCTGAGCGGGAACAACATTACTCACTAGGAGGCAGATACATACAGCTGACGAGGTCCAAATAGGACGAGATCCACGTCCTGGATCTCACTGTTAGCCACTCTCTGTCATTATTATCTAATCCCACTTTATTCATCATCACATTTAAGCATAGGCGAAATATTAGCATGTATCTCACACACGTATTTTAGCCTCACAGCTGATACAGATCCATAACCTCGCCTACTTTCATGTCTTACACGGTTAGAATTTTATGTTTAACTTTAAAAATTGTTCGACTTGTAATTACACAATCGAATGCAAAATATTTTGGAATATCTATGATGCAACACGCGTAAGCTCTGTTTGCCTTTCAATTTCACTGATGTATAACTAAAATAGAGAAGACTATCATGCAATAAGCAGAAGAGTTTTTAAGTGAACATGTTCAAGGAGACAACAATCGTTTAAAAGATGATCAACAGGGTGATGGCATGGAATAATTTAAGATCCAATTCAGTAGCAGTATATTTTAAAGCAGGAGTTCCCTTTCAATTCACTGAATTGCGATTCAATGAGCCCAAGTTCCACGGAGAGTACCTTACCATTGAGTCACTGGGTCGGAATCCACTGGTCCATATTTACAATTTCTGTCAGTTCATGACACAGTGTGACCATCACCTAATGTCATCGATGAGTATTTGTCCTCATGGCCATCAGGTTTACCCCATAGGTCACTACTTCTCATTGGAACTTCAGGAATCACCTCTCGAAACTAGTCACCGATGCGCACTGGATCAATTCGATTTGGGGGTTTGTAAGGATTTAGTGATTTTCAAGTTGGTAGTCATCATAGACTGATATCAGTTCGAGGAAGATTGGAAACCCAGCAATACTGGACAGCTATTTCATCCGACTATGGAACTCCTCGACAGTGCGTACCCACGACCCTGTAAGGGACGAACCATTGGATTCCGACCCAGTGGCTGCTCAATGGTAACGTGCTGGTCACAGAACCTGAAGGTCCTGGGTGAGGGAGTCATAGGTTTGCACTGTTGGGGAGTTCCATGCTAGGACAAAACAGCTACCCAGTGCTCCCAGGTTTCGAATGTTCCTTCAACTGATGTCAGTCCATGTTGAAAAATTCAATGAATTAGATGGAATTTAACATAATGCCAACGGCTGGATGCTTTACCAATAGTCCATCAGGTCATATGATCATGAAGTTTGCAGACTGTATTCTGTCTACAAGAGGGAGAAGAGGCTAAGTCTCACAGAGAAGTTAAGGTTTCAGAGTGGCTTCCATCATCATAGATATAAGTTAGCTGCAGAACTATTGGGAGTTTGGTGAATGTCACTTTTTTCAATCAATCAATTCACGCCAAAGTAAGCACTTGGATTTCAACTCAGTAACTGAGTGGTAACGTGTTCACTGTGAGATATGACGGTCCTAAGTGGGTTGATGCACACTGTTGAACAGTTTCAAACTAGGACGAAACAGACGTTCTTCAGTGCTTTCAGATTTAAGTTCTCCAGGTGAGATCGATTAGTAGTGAAATCCAGTTTTCAGTCATTTTAATTTAATATAAAAGTAGTGAAGTGAATAGTGACTTAATGGCTTACATATTGAACCTTAAACATGAATGTGTTGTGAAGTTTGGATGTCGCTTTAGTTTATTTAACTGAAGTTCATAGATTTAAAGTACTCCAAGTAGTTGAAGCTTCTAACTTTAAAGTATTGCCTCGAAATTCAGTGAATATTCTTAAAGCTACCGGTGAATAATTTTTGGCTTAGGCAAGAGATGATTTAATCCTTAGTAAGATTTTAAACTGTATGACGTGACAATTATGACAAATCGTATTTCCATGCAGTTTGTCAGTTAGATAGTGGGCATAGTGTATTGGATTGGGCTTATTGTTGACAGAAATATTAAACTATAAATAACACCCTTCCTCATCCACCCAGTGGATCTTGTCACTTATTGTACATAGCCAATGAACCTTGGTTTTTTTTCATCCCTTTAGTTAATCGACAGTGAACGTATACGAATGAACAATATGAAACATTCGCTGTTTCAGATATCACATTCGTCAGAATAACAAAAATCAGACTTCAGACATTTGGAGTCCTTTTTTATGTGATTAAAAGTCAATAGATTATGCAGATTAGTGAGTCACTAGATGGATGATATTCCATTACTGTTTGAAAATATCTTATATATAAAACAGCAAGAATATAGGGAAGTTAGCGGTAAGACGTCCAACAACCTTTTCTGTCAATAAAATCTTTACTTATCGCTTAGAGATAGTAACCCCAAAGGAAATATTTTTTTGCTTGACAGGTGCGAAGTTCACACAAACAATTTAGGTGTTGTAAACTAACTATTATCACCTTACATATGTATGCACTTGAAAGTCAAACAACTATAGAGTATGTATATTTATATATTGGTGGCGACAGTTCTCGTTCAAGAAGGCTGATCAATATAATTAAAAGAAAACCTGGGTTACGGCGGGATTCGAGCTAGAGCTTCGATTATTGAGCTATAAAACCTAAATGTTAACTATATTTTAAGTTCATTTCTTCGCTGAAAACTTTTTTGGCTGTTGTGTGAATCAGTAATACATAAGTTACCGGTTTATCAAAAATGGTATACATTCACTTTTGTATTAATGAGTTAGTTATAGGTTAGTAAGCTGCTTCGCTTCCTGACAAATCAAATACTTAAATTCAATCCTGTGTTAGGAAACCGCATCGAACGACTTTTTTTAAACTTAGTGCTGCTCTTCAGATAACTTTAATAAGAATAGTATGCTATATGCTACATAGACACCTATGACCAAAACTCACTAACCTTATAAATGAATATTGAACAAATAAGCGTCAATTTGTTGGGAAGGGAACATTTCGTACCCCGGTGGCCCAGTGGATAATACTTTGACGTTTGAAGCGACGGACACTACGTTCGAGTTTCAGTGGGAATAACACTACTCACTGGGGTGCACGTACATCCAGTTGACGAGTGGGTCCCAAGTATGACGAAACGCCCATCCTTAACTCCGCTGCTAACCACCAAGCAGATATCAAAATAATGACCAAACAAACGGTATGAAGGTGCTCGGCATTGAAGCCCATTCGTCAACAGAGGTCGAGCAATTCGATCCCATATAGTAACGGGAAATTACAAGTATCAAAAGCTGCAGAAATTTTATTCATTTATTTTTAAGGTAGTATTCATAGACTCATATACGTTTCAAAATCAGTAAAAAACGGCGATCACTGGATAGCCGTTTCGTTGTAGTGCAGGACTTCTCAGCAGTACGCTCAAAGCACATTACTGTATAGTGCTTTTTAGTGGCGTGCTTTGAGGTGGATATCCTGACGTTCTAATGAGAAGCCGCGACGCGTGGGGTCAGTGAGTCGTAAGTCAAGCGGATGACAACTAAAGACCTTGGTGGATGGTTACGCTATATCGCAAATTGACTGAAGTAGGGAACTGCGGATCACTGAACTCCGACCCAGCGGCTGGATGGTTACCGCGTTCGCTGCGAGATCTGAAAGTTCTGAGTTCAATCCCTGGTGTAGTCACAGATACGTACTGTTGAGGGATCTCATACCAGGACGAAATAGCTTTCCAGTCCCTTCACGTTTTCAATCGTTCTCCAATTAATGCAACAGCCAATCAAAGTGTCATACAGTCACCTATTAAAGACAGTATATAAAGTTTTTCCGATTTTCAGCCTAGTACTGTAATTCCTTAGTTTCCTCTGCCCGACCGATAGCTGCTACCTTGACGTGGTGGTCGGGCTTGCATATCACAATGACCCAACGAGCTATGCTGGTGGAACGCTTGTTCCCTCGAGGTCCTACCATACCAGAAAGGTCTGTTGGGTAGTGGTTAGACGAAAAGCAGTTACCGTTATAGTGTAAATTGCTACACTATGATGGGGGTCTGAGGGCGAAGTCGTACTGCTGCTAGCTGGATGGGGTGTGACAGCAGTAAGGTGTTTCCCTTGGATGACCAGCAGTGCCAAGCTGATGCTGCCTTCTCAGTGGAAGGGGGGGTTAGAAAAGGTCGGCCCCAAAAATAACACACTCCACCACGCCCCACGGTCTGCCGGGCCGGCGGTGTTGGTTCACTTGTCGTTTCCTTTCGACCATCCGGCCCCAAAAATACAAAAGTTCAAAAT